TGCGCATGATGAAAAATGCATGCAGCATGATATCGGCTGTGGATATGCATGCTGAGGTAGAGGTATGCTGTGTGCCGATTCTGGCGGCAGAATCAGCTGGAACGGTTCGGGGGGGTGGAGGTTATGAAACGGGGTGGGATTGGTAACATTCCAGGAGGCCGGAATGGGAAGCCTTCCCGTGATGCTGATCGGGGGTGGGGGGCATTTTTTACTGACCTCCAGGGACTGTCTTTCTGCTCTTAACAGATGCAATTCATACAGTTAATATTCAGTATTGATATCTCTGTGGCTGCTGACTCTGCCGTGTGCAGGGAGGGCACGTAAGGACACAGTGTTAGCACCACGGTCCGGTTGTGTGTCATATGCAAAATAATAATTAAATTCTTTATTTACATAGCACTTTTTGTAAATGAAATCTACCTCAAAGTGCTTCATATATGGGATTAAAATAAGAAACAAAGACAGAGAAGGTTTGTAAAATACACAACTAAGGTACAGGCCTAAGAAAGTATAGAATGAAGGTATATGCAAAGCTCCCCAAACTGGACCGTCCTACACCATCCATCCTACCAGGTCTTCTGTCCAATACTCCATGGCCTCGTCGAACAGGACAGGGCAGTAAACAGGTAAACTCCAGGACTTGGGGCCACTGAGTGGACAGAAGGTCCTAGAAAGAGTTTGGAAAGAAGAGGACTCAAATATAGATGGCATTTGAAAACTGGGGTGGCAAACACTGGGACACAACACTAAGGGACACAAATTAAAAGGACAGATTAGATAAGCGAGGCTACAAACACTGACCCGAGACAAACGGGAGCATGAGGTCTGGCTCTATAGCAACTGAGAGCAAAGTCTTCAGCTGAGTGTCCAAAGAGCACTTCTGCTTTCAGTTAAGCCCCAGGTGGCAAGAGTGTTAGGTTCTGCCTGTGAAATTCACAGATTACCATTTTATTATTACATCCCTGCTTCCATATTACTTTGCTGCCCCACCCAAGAGTACCGTACGTTGTTTAACAGGACGTGACCCGTCAAAGCTGTTCGGTGTCGTGTGATACCTTCCTTTTTATGTAAGGAGTTACACAACATGTTCTAAAAGCATCTGGAAATAGCAGTGTCAGGCCACGAGTCAAAGCGAACTCTTCCCGAACTTCACCAACCCCCCCCCCCCCCCCATTTCAGCCGCTAGGTAGCAGCACCTGACACTGCCATGGTGATAGAATTACAGATGGGCATTGGTGAGAATATAGAGCACATCTGAAGTTGCATACTTACACAGTACTACTGAGATTTGTTAGAAACCTACTACTTAGTCAGTACTGTAGTATGTACTTTATGCATTAGAACACGGAACATGGACTAGGACACACTGTGTTCACCATCTTGCATATTACCTGAACTGGATGATTACTAATGACAGCTTCACCCTGGCATAAGTTAAAAACTGTTAAAAACTATCAACAAAAAATACATATTTGACTCAAATTATGTAACTAGGTATTGTTTCCTACTTAAATACGTAGAGAGGGCACTTGAGCAAGAGACATTCTTTGTCTCCAGTAGTCTTGTGGGACAGGATAGTGTCAATTGGTTGCAGAATGTAGTATGTCATCCATTTGCCGACTGTCTAATCCATACTGAGGATTCGGACATGCAAATCATATCACATACTATATTTCGCATACTACATAGAAAACAAGTATATGATTTTGGACACACCTATAATCTTCCACAATAATCAGGGCTTATAATCAGGGCTTTCTTACTTTTGCTCCATACTAATACACATTAGTGTCCAATTCTATAAACCTTTATGTCAAGATATAATACTCATGTGTAAGATAGGTTCTCTATATGGATGAGAAAAGGAATATAGAACATAAGCATATATCTAGAATGACTTAGAAGCATACAGTGTCTTTCACTATTGAAAATTTCTTCCAGTACAGATCATTTGATATACAGACGCTGCTTTACTTACGAATGAGATACGTTTCGAACGGCCGTTCGTAACTTGAAATGTTCATAAGTCTTTATTCAACATCATTTTGAGGGTATACGCAAGTACAAAGAACTAGGATACTGGGAGTCCGCACGCTACGCTGCTGCGCGGCGGGAGTAGCAGCCTGATGTCATACTAGGCGGAATTGGTGAAAAAAAAATTTATGTTGCGGACAGGAAACGGGAGCCCAATGAACACAATTTGGACTTACAGTCCTCTTCGTTCGTATGTCTGAAAGTTCGTAAGTTGAAAGTTTGTAAGTAGAGGAACGTCTGTATGTATATAGGAAAATACAGATAAGCTCAATCAAATTAGTTATAGCTATATCTGGGCTGCATAGTGATTAGAAGTGTTGCATCCGGAGTGGGCAGGTTCCAGTGAAGTCTCTGGTGTGTGTGTGTGTGTGTGTGTTTTTGGCTTGCATATTCCCCCCATTCGATGTGGGTTTCCTCTGGGTTCCTCCTGCAGTCCCAAGACATGCATTTAGGTTAATTTGTGTCTCTAAATCGCCCATAGCGTATAATTATGTGCGTGTGCCCCGCGAGGGACTGACATCCTGTCCAGGGTGCACTGCTCTCTGAGATAAGCTCCACCCTCCAGGGTGGATGTTGGCTGGGAATGTATGTATATATCTGATCAAGAGTGCTGGCAAATCTTTGTCCTCTTTGTAGTCTCATATATTGAAAATTGATTATCTTGCTTTGTTATCTTGCTAATTATAGCAGCTTCTGGAGCTGAACAAGTGGAGCCTTGTGCCAACAATGCTGGGGTACCACGCAGCCTCATTTTGCATTTTCTTATTTGGATGAAAGCATCCGATAAAAATGTATTCGGTATTTATGGTTTATTAGGTCCTTGAAGGGGGGGAAAGTGTTGGGGGAAACGAAGTAGTTTCTCTTTCTTCATATATGTACAAGTAGATGCTAGAATAAGAAGTGCTGGTGAGCCAGGAAGCTCGGCGTTCTTGCAGAAGAGGGAGCGACCGCGAGTGTTATTTCTGCTAGTGTCCCATGGCTTCATCCCTCAAAGTACAGACAGTCGATTGCGCTGGCCTTTGGATGAGAGAGGGTAGTGATTAGCCTCAGCCGCTCTTCCCTACAGAGCCCGTGCGCGCTCGCTCCCTTGTCATTTATCCAGTCCTCCTCGGTCTCATGGTCGACTAGGACGGCAGCACTCCAGAAATACATTCCTCACTGACGTAGGTGTAGTGTAGCTCTGGACGAGCCCGCCCGAAGGAAACAGCCTCCAGAATTATTTAGTCTTAATTCCCTTTGGTTAGAGTTGTTTTTTTTTTGGTTGTTTCAGACGCTTCAGATTTGTCTTGCTGATTGGCCACATCCCTGCCATGTTTTTTATTCTGATGATTTGTAATACAGTGCCCCCTGTAACGGCCAAAGGCATTTGTTTCCTAGAATGGGTTTATTGTGGCATGAGGAAGTGTGACATGTTTGTTTTGAGTATAGATCTGTGTCTGTACTCGTTTCATTGTTCCTTGTGTATGTTGATTACACATAGATATTCTTTGACTTACTGTCTAAAGCCTTATCATCGTTTTATCCCTCTTCCAACCACTTGTCCTGGTCAGGTTTTGTGGGACCTGAATACTATCTTATGTAATATAAGGCACATACACCCACGACGCTCTGGGTCAGTGATTCCTAATCCGGTCCTCTGGGACCCACAGACAGTCCATGTTTTTGCTCCTGATAGGAAGCTGAGAGGGAGCAGAAATGTGGTCTGTCTGGCAAGGAGCTTGGAGGGAGCAAAAACAGGCACCGACTGTGGGTCCTCGAAGACGGATTGGCAAACACTGCTATAGGCAATTAAGAAGTTAACTGCATATCTTTGGACAGAGACGGGAAGCCAGAGTACCCAGAGGAACCTCCCCCCCCCCCAGCCCTGGAGGTGTGAGGATACAATGCCACCCACAGGGCCACCATGCTGACCCTTATTATTATCGTTGTAGTACTGGCTACATGTATATACAGGCTTTCACAGGAATGCATGCTTCTCCATCCAACCACCAGGGGGCATACAGGAACATCTGCATCCCAGACAAGTAATGGTTTTAGAGAGCAAAGACTCCCACTGACCCTTCCGTGACCCCCTCAGTTGAGTTCCTGTGCCCCACAGTCCTAAGATCACAAGGTGTGATAAAACTGATGGCACCGTGTGTCACTGTTGAAAACATCTGTTTGTAACTTTTTATCTGTACATGAATTGATGAGATGATTTCAACACACTTTCTCTCCTGCGTGTCCCGGTCCTGTGTCCGTTGCTGGCCAGAATAGCGCACACTGGCTCTGGACTGGCTCACTGCTGAAGTGTGCATTACAATCTGTGCATTTCTGTATTTCCAGAGTAGCTTAACAACTGTATAATTAATGATCACTAAATCCCTTACAACAAAACTGAAAACATGATCAAAACTGATAAGAAGCAACAGCCGGATCGTGTCACTTCCTGTGTGGTGGTCTTTGTCTTGGGCAAAGAGGGAGAAGCACAGCTCTCCACAGCGAACGTGTGCACCAAGAGATGTACACGTACACTATTCCTGTGCATGGTGCAGCAGTCAGCATTTGTCATAAGTCAGTGGGTTTTTTTTGTTTTTTCCATTATGACAAAAACTGGATAAGGTCCAGTTTGTGTATTTTCACACACAAAGGCTAATTCTCTTCTATTGTAGGGATTTGGCCATTCGTGATTACAGGGAATTGCAAGGACTAATGACTCCCCATCTCTGACCTTTTTTTAGACAGAGCAGAATGGAAAGACCAGACAGTGGTATTCCTCTTTTCCTGTTGAATGAGCGGACCCAAAGCAGCGGTGTAGCCTGCCCCCTAGTGGCGGCCACTAGGACTGTAAAAACAGCTGCGCGTTGGTATCAGCAAAGCAGACGGACCCGGGGTTTCACCCTCTGCTGCTGGACATAATCATTTCCCCGCTGCTAACGCTTCTTTAACCATGACGCCCGCTGCTGTTTTCTTGGTGCCTGTTGCAGAGATGAGGAGGGTTTCTGCCAGCCATACAGGGGCATCGCCTGTGCCCGTTTCATTGGCAACCGAAGCATCTTTGTGGACTCCTTGCAGATGCAGGGCGAGATCGAGACCCAGATCACAGGTACCACACGCCCAGTCCCCCCTCAGTTCATAAACGGCAGAAGGATACGGTCCTTAATCAATAGTGTGCAGTAGTTTACAAGTCTATATATTTGCCCACTTGCATGAATATTTCAAGACTGGTGAAGCATCTTTTGTTAAATGGATTAAACGGACGAGTCTAAGAGTCTCTAATGGTCATCTATATGGCATTTTTAACTTAATATCAGTTTTGTTCCTTTATTCAGCTGGACATTTGCTGGAGGAGATAATTTTCACTCCTGTTTAGAAGGTTTAAGCTTGATTTTGTATCTAGACACACCCACATTCTTCTCCCCCAACCACCAGCGGCCTTCACCATGATTGGCACCTCCAACCACCTATCAGATCGCTGCTCGCAGTTCGCTATCCCCTCGCTGTGCCACTTTGCCTTCCCGGCATGCGACCGGAGCTCGGGGGTGGACAGGCCGCGCGACCTCTGCCAGGACGAGTGCGAGATCCTGGAGAACGACCTGTGCAAGACGGAGTACATCATCGCCCGCTCGAACCCAGTTATCCTCAAGCAGCTCAAGCTGCCCAACTGCGAGGACCTGCCCGCCTTTGACAGCCCGCTGGCGGCTCACTGCATGAGGATCGGCATCCCCATGCCCGACCCCATCAACAAGAGTAAGGGTCTCCTCAGACCGCCGCTTTGTGTGCGAACACCGCAGAGCGAGACAGAGGCCCCACTGCCTCCGCAGGGTCCCCCCCCGCCTAGAAAATCTCAGTAAAAATTACACCAAATAATGCTGATTGCTGCTACCAGTCTGTCCACACAGTCAATTTGTACACACCTGTTTTTCAACATTTGTACAGATACATTTCAGAATCAGAATCTGAAGACTTCATTAATCCCGGAGGAAATCGCTCACATTGCGACTGCACAATCACACAATAATATAATTTTAGATCTTCATTACAACAATCCAGATGTGCAGTGCACAATGATATTCTTATTTCCGGTGCTGCGGAGAAGAAAGAAAAATGAAAATGCGAAAGGAATTGCACATTAGATGGCGCGCGCATAAAAATGTCTACCATAGATTAAAAGAAAACATTTAAAGTGAAGAAAAAAAATAGAAAAGTAGTTACTAATGTAAAGTATACAAAATAGAGAAAAAAAATTATTTATAAAAATATAAAATATATATTAATGGCAAAATATGATAAAATATGAAAAGTTACACATCAGACATAGTTAATAACCATTTATGCAAGTGAAATGAACAAAATTTCAAATTTCTTGTGAGGAAAAAGAGAGTATTCATGGGTGTAAATTATCAGGGGATGGGGGGTTACAACCCCCCCCCAATAATCAAAACCAGCAAATACAACCCCCTGGATCCCCTTTAATGGGTGGAGACCTCAACCCCCCAGTGCTCAACCCAAAGTGATGCCCTCACATGTATTGCTACATTAAACCTAGAAATTAAAATCCTAAGTATGTGTAGATACTCCTCTACCAGACAGTTATATATGAGTATGTAGTACTACACTATTACTAGTTCACTTTTTCCTGCCTACCTTACTATCTTCTTCACAGATCACAGGTGTTACAACAGCACAGGTGCAGATTACCGGGGCACAGTCAGCGTGACCAAGTCGGGTCTCCAGTGCCAGCCATGGAACTCACAGTACCCCCACAGTCACAGCTACGTGGCTGTGCGCTACCCCGAGCTAAACGGGGGCCACTCCTACTGCCGTAACCCCGGCAACAAGCAGGCTGCGCCGTGGTGCCTCACCCTGGACGAGAATGTACGCATGGAACTCTGCGATATCCCAGTCTGCGGTGAGGACGCGTCTCAGCCACACCCTGCGGCCATCTTTACTGTTCCCAGGTCGAAAGGTCAAAGTCTCACACACAAACACACCTGTATCTCCCGGCTTCCACAGACACCGTAGTCATACCCTTGTGTCTCCCTTGAGTCACAATAACTCCCACCATGACTCTCAGCATAGCTCCCACCGTGACTCTCGGCATAACTCCCACTTTGACTCTCGGCATAGCTCCCACCATGACTCTGGGCATAGCTCCCACCGTGACTCTCGGCATAGCTCCCACCATGACTCTCGGCATAGCTCCCACCATGACTCTTGGCATAGCTCCCACCGTGACTCTCGGCATAACTCCCACCATGACTCACAGCATAGCTCCCACCATGACTCTCGGCATAGCTCCCACCGTGACTCTCGGCATAACTCCCACTTTGACTCTCGGCATAGCTCCCACCGTGACTCTCGGCATAGCTCCCACTTTGACTCTCGGAATAGCTCCCACCGTGACTCTCAGCATAACTCCCACCATAACTCTCAGCATAGCTCCCACTGTGACTCTCGGCATAGCTCCCACCGTGACTCTCAGCATAGCTCCCACCGTGACTCTCGGCATAGCTCCCACCGTGACTCTCGGAATAGCTCCCACCGTGACTCTCAGCATATCTCCCACCGTGACTCTTGCCATACCTCCCACCTTGACTCTCGGCATAGCTCCCACCGTGAATTTCGGCATAGCTCTCATCATGACTCGTACCATGTTGCCCTCAGACTCCCAGGAGAGCCGGGCTGGTGGCAGCGCAGAAATCACGTACATCCTGATCCCGAGTGTGGTCATCCCACTTGCCGTAAGCCTGCTGCTCTTCTTCATCTGCGTCTGCCGCAACAGACAGAAGATGTCAAGCCCATCCGCCTCGCACCAGCCCAAACCGGTGCGGGAGATGTCTATGTTCGGCACCTACAAGCCCAAGGTGAGAGTCAGAGGATAGAGCTGAATCGATATTATAGACAGTCAGCCTCAATGACACGCTTAGCCTGTTAGCAACCAGCTGGGAACAACCATAAGTCAGAAGCAGACAATTTTTTATACAAAGAGTGGTGGATCTTTAGGTCTGCTATGCTAACTTTGTATTTACATTGCATAATCAATTTATGCTTTTACCCAAAGTGACGTACAATTGAGAAAACAATTACATGCATGCAGTGTTGCCATAGGGGCACGGATACCCTGGCAGAGTCCGGGGGCCCAGCCCGACACAGGGGCACAGATACCCTGGCAGAGTCCGGGGGCCCAGCCCGACACAGGGGCACAGATACCCTGGCAGAGTCTGGGGGCCCAGCCCGACACAGGGGCACTTAAATATACAAAATTATCAAATTTATGGGGCGAGGAGTAAGGTCAGGGGGCCTCTGCATATGTGAGTTACAGGGGTAACTGGCGGTCAAGGGCCTTGCGCAAGAGCCCAATGGTGACATCACTCTGCCAAAACAGGATTTGAACTGATAACCTTCTGGTCACGACCACAGAGTCCTAACCCCCAGAGCCACAGGCCACAAAATCAGTCACTAATAAATCATTTTGGTATTATTAAATGTCTAAACAAGGAAGAGGGGCCTCCCACTGTCCAGGAGAATTTCCTTCTGGCCAAAGAAGATGGCCTGTCAGATGAGGATGTCTGTAATAGTGTTTCAGGGGTTCATATTGTTATGAGTGACTGTCTAGGTTGTGTAGGAATCTATTTAAGTGGATTGTTCCTCATCGTGTTCTTCAAAGTGTGCTGAAAGGAACTTGGATGCATTCTTGGTTTACAGTTTGATGCACGTTGCTTTTTCATTCATTCACTCCTGGAATGTCTTGCTCAAAAAACCATTTTCTGGTTCACATTTTGATTTCTTTTTCATTCACTCATGAAATTAAATGATTACATGAAGTGATGCTGAAATTGAATTTCATTCTCTGGTTTACATTTTGCTACACGTTGTTTTTCCATTCATTTATGTCATCCTAAATGGTATGTCAGTGATCAGCTTCACAAAGTTGCACATATTTAGTTAACCGCTTTACTGAGCGATCTTAAGGCAGAAACAAAGTTAGAAAATGGCAGTCGTCTTCAATTCTGCAATTTATTGAACCCAGACCTTACACCCTGAGTGGATGAGCATACTCCATTGTTCTGACATTTATCACAGTCATACCATCTTAGGGGAATTTACGACACATACTGTTGCAGTTTTTCAGCTGCAGATTGGCTGATATATGGTCCTTGTGGCCATGAGCATCTATCTAATTCTTTAATCTCTGTCCCTGGGAATCACTGTGATTAAGCAGAGTGTGGTTCAGGTCGTTCAGGGGTCGCTGGTTAGAACAACTGTTTGGTGAAGAACAAGGGCCTATTTACCCTTTTAACGTAAAACATCTGTTTCTTCCCTGCGAGGCCAGTTTAACACACCCACGCTTGTCGCCTGCGGTTTCAGGAATTCCATCTATCCATCTTCCAGCCATGTATCCTGGACAGACTCACAGGAGATTTAAGGAATTTCATTTTTTAGTTACTGGGATTTTTCATTTTTAGTAGCCATTCATAACTTCTTCTGAACCTGAATTTGTCATTGCCTGCACCCAGTATTTCCAAAGGATTTCTAATGCACAAAGACCATTACATCAGTAGCTGTGAACTGTCAAAGAGTTATTATTGGTTCAAAAGTCGAAGAAAAGAAAACTGAAAGAAATAATAATAATCTGTTAATCTTCCAGCCACTTATCCTGAGCAGGGTTGTAAAAATAATAATTATAATGTATATTTAAATATTTAAACATGTATTGAGGCAGCTGGTTCATAACAAGTAGAACCTCTTCTGTTTTTGAGTAACGAAACAAGTAATTTTGAAATAACTCATTACTATACCTTTCTTGTCAATTAACAACACATTTTCAGCCTTCTTTGGAAAAATTCTATCATAAAATCTATTATCTTCCTACCTGCTCAGTGTTTTTAGCCACCAGCCAACATTGACGATGTCAATAAAAAAATAATCAATTACCACCAGCAAACAACACAACAACCCACATTCTTCAATATTATTTTATGGGACCGGCTCGGATTAGAGAACTCAATGTATTCCATCACTGCAGCAATCTTAAGTTCTGGATTTGATTTACAGTGAAGTGATTAGGATTTGACAGTTTTTAAAGTGGTTCTGAATAAACATTTGCTGGAACCCTTTATTCTAAACTTCTGAAAATTGTATCCTTATTCATCATTGTTATTATTGTTTGAACGTGACGCCTTTTCATGGACTGAGCCCCTGTTATTCTCCTGTCTCTCAGGGCAAAGCGAAAGAGCTCCCCCTGTCTGCCGTCCGCTTCATGGAGGAGATGGGGGACTGTGCCTTTGGGAACATATACAAGGGCCACCTGTACCTGCCGGGAATGGAGCACGTCCAGCTGGTGGCCATCAAAACGCTGAAGGACGTGTCCAGCCCGGCGCTGTGGGCCGAGTTCCAGCAGGAGGCGGCGACGGCAGCCGAGCTGCATCACCCCAACGTGGTGTGTCTGCTGGGCGTGGTCACACAGGAGCCGCCCGTCTGCCTGCTCTTCGAGCTGCCCTGCCGCGGCGACCTGCACGAGCTGCTCACCCTGCGCTCGCCGCACTCCGACGTGGGCGGCGGCAGCGACGAGGACGGCACCGCGCGTCCCGCCCTGGACCACGCCGACTTCCTGCGCCTGGCCGTCCAGGTGGCCGCCGGCATGGAGTACCTGGCCGGCCGCCTCTACGTCCACAAGGACCTGGCTGCCCGCAACGTTCTGGTGGGGGAGCAGCTGCACGTCAAGATCTCGGACTTGGGCCTGTCCCGAGAGACTTACTCCTGCGACTACTACCGGGTCCAGCCCAAGACGCTGCTGCCCGTCCGCTGGATGTCCCCAGAAGCCGTCGCCTTTGGAAAATTCTCCACCGACTCGGACATCTGGGCCTTTGGCGTGCTGCTTTGGGAGATCTTCAGCTTTGGCCTGCAGCCCTACTATGGCTTCAGCAACCAGGAGGTGATGGACATGATCCGGAAGCACCAGCTCCTGACCCGCCCGGCTGACTGTCCAGCCCACTTCTATGCCATGATGATGGAGTGCTGGCAGGAGATTCCTACCCGCCGGTCCCGCTTCAAGGACCTCCACGCACGTCTCCGGGCCTGGGAGGGCCCGCTGGCGTCTCATGCCGGCTCAGCGTCGCCCTCCGATGGCCACGGCACTACACAGACCACGTCGCTGAGCACCAGCTCAGTTAGCAGCGTGAGTGGGCCCCAGTACACCGGGTACGTGTACCCGGCTGCGGGCATCCCGCCAGGGCCCAGGTTCATTCCCGTCAGCGGCTACGCCATCCCGCCGGGCTACGCCGCTTTCCCCCCTGCCCACCTGCAGACGCGGGGGGGTCCCTCCCGTGGCCTGCAGCATTGCCCGCCCCCAAAAAGCCGCTCGCCCAGCAGCGCCAGTGGTTCCACCAGCACGGGTCACGTGACCAGTGTCCCCTCCACGGGCTCCACCCACGACGCCAAAACTCCCCTGCTGTCCCACTGCGTGCCGCTCTCCGGCCTCGGCGGGGCACACGCTCGGACACACGAGCCAGACGGCTCTGCAGACGGACCTGCGCAGACCTGCCTGACTGCGGAAGGCAACATGCACACGTATACCGAAACACACATCATCACCGCCAACCTATAAATACTTCTGTAGCTATTCTAAAAATAGAGTGTTTGCCGTTTTTGTAATATAAATAAAGCCTGCATGAAATTCAGAGACTTGTATTTGTTTTGTGTGGGCAAGACGAGGAAGAGATTAAAAAAGAAGTCTATGTTATTGCACAAAAACCGGCTGTGGTTCAGTCCTGCTCCAGGCTAAGCTCTTGTGCCAAGCTAGCAATTTAGATTTTCTATGTCCAGGATAAGATTTTTTTCTCATTTGAAAATCTTTCAGGATCCTCAGCCAAGAACAAAAGACATGCTGTTGCTCTCTTAAAGGAAGTTTCTAGACCATTGGCATGCATTTACTGGACGCACAACTAGCATTTAACAAACATACAACGAGCATTTAACGAACATACAACGAGCATTTAACAAACATACAACGAGCATTTAGCGAACATACAACGAGCATTAAACAAACATACAACGAGCATTTAGCGAACATACAACGAACATTTAACAAACATACAACGAACATTTAACGAACATACAACGAGCATTTAACGAACATACAACGAGCATTTAACAAACATACAACTAGCATTTAACAAACATACAGCGAGCATTTAACAAACATACAATGAACATTTAACAAACATACAACGAGCATTTAACAAACATACAACTAGCATTTAACAAACATACAACGAGCATTTTACAAACATACAACTAGCATTTAACAAACATACAACGAGCATTTAACGACATAAACCTTCTTCGTTGCATCAGCTGCTCACCCCCACTCAAACTCAACTTGTTTACATCATCAAAAAATTCAATATATTATTACAAGCTGACTTATGAATACAATATGCAGAAAATGTGTGAAATAATTTCCTAATGTTTCTGGTAATTTTACTTCTCTGGTCTGAGCAGAGTTGCATCTTAATTGTTACTGTTATTATATATTATTACTGTATTTCTTGATTTTTACTTGATCAGATTTTGCCAATGGGGATGAAAATTTAAATAATTATTATCTTTGTTTTCCATTCCAGGGGTGTTACAATTTCTTCCATCCATCCATCCATCTGTCACCTGTTTTTTACTTTCTTAGCTTGACAGGTAACCTTCACTCAGACAGCAGGCGTGTGCAATTTGAAATGTTTTATTTAAGTCAAATGGAGAAATTAAAGATTTTCTGTTTCTTTCGTCCAGGATATTATTCTATTATTAATATGATCAATTAAAAAAAGAAACAATTCCAAAAGGTTTTATCTCAGTTAACCTTTTTCTTAGTTTGTCCTTATATAACGTATCTACATTTCATGGGGTATTACAGATATTATTTGTTAAGTCGTTATATCAAAAGCAGTTGAAAAAAAATCTATTACAATAGACTGTGAATCTCATTGCCCATGTTTGTCTTCAACATAACTATTTTACCTTTGTGTGTGTGTGTGTGTGTGTGTGTGTGTGTGTTTTATTCAGATTCTAAGGCCACTTGCAATGAAGAAAAATATTGTTCATGTTTAAGCAAATATTTGTGAGTTCCCATTTCCATCACAGTATCGTAGTGTAGATTGCGCTGCTTCATTTTATTACTCATCTAAACTATTGCGTCAACTCTGATGTCATACTCAGCTTCAGTACTCAAACGCACTGTCACCAAATGACCTTAGTACTTTTTCAGGTAAAAGCCTTTATAATGTTTACAATGTGTAGATGTACTGCAAGAAAGGACATTTTGCTAATTTACCTGTGACTGCATGCAGTTTTATTCCATCATCCTTTCACCAACATTTAATACCAAACATTTAATAAAAAGATCAGGCAACAGTGTTGTTTGAATCATAAATAGTGCATCCAATTTTTTTTTTGCATTTAAAAATTATTTTTAAAAACTTAGATTCCAATGCTTTGAAATACCTTTACGTAGTCTTGTAGGCTACAGTTTGTTAAATCAAAATAATAATCAAAATTCGTATTGCCTCTGGATTCTGTAAACAGAGAATCAGGTATGGAGGCATCCTAGTTGAATTGAAACATTGTCTCCACCAGAATTATTCATTGCAGCTGCAAATATGTTTGCACGCAGGTACGTGCAATCTCCCGCTAACATGCTAGCCGTTAGCGCATACAGCTGCATGCTGGGTTTGCGTTCTTCATTGCAAGTGACCACGTATTGTAACCTGTGTGTACCAATCATGCAAGCTGTATCATTTTTATACTTTATTGACCACGTGGCCTTGTTTTGTACTTCTCTGCCTTTGCACATGTGTTTGCATGATGAAAACATTAAATGACATAGTTCTGTGATATATTGTTGTCCTACTTCTTGCTGTTTGCTGTCATCCCTGGTCTTGTAATGTAATTGCTAACATATATATATATATCTGAAATTCGTTTTATATTGGGCATGTCACACTAGAGGAGTGATGGTCTATCTAGTGAGAAATAGTCTTATTTTTTTTAATTCTGCATAAAACTTTATAACAGAAATAAATAATTAAGCAGGACATTTTTAAGTGTGCGTTCGTTAATCCCTTGATCAGAAGTTCAAACAACCAGTATTTACTCTATCAATCAATCGATTTTATTTCTATAGTGCATTTTCACAACATTACATTGTCTCAAAGCACTGTACACTGTCCCTGTCCAAAGACCCCAGTGAGCAAGCCAGAGGTGACAGTGGCAAAGAAAAATTCCCTAGACCCAAAGGGGGAGCCCGTCCTCCAGGGGGCAGCAGAGGAAGCCC